AGACGTTTGGACTGAAGTTGCTCAGATGATGTAAGCACTCTGCCGGCTGCCAAGAAGGGTCTCAGCCACCCTCCTTTGGAGCAGCGGAAGAGCGGAGACCGCCAGCCAAGGGCGCTCCCAGCCCAGGCGGGAGGAGAAAGCACTCCCTGCCCGCGGAGACAGGGGGCCCGCCCCTAGAATGCCCACAGCCCAGGTGCCCCAAGCCCAGCTCCAGGGCCCCCGCTAACACATCAGCCCCCGGTTCTGGGGACCCCCTCCTGGGCTCACACACACTCACACTCACCCCTCACCATCCTCCCCAGTTCCCAGAGAGGATCAGAGACTCGCACATGTTCAGTCCTCCAGCCCCATCGTGTGAGGCTCTGTGGGCTTCACTCCAGGTCCACCAGCCACAAGGACCCAGACACAGACAGACGTTCCATGAGGACAGGGGCGTCCTGAGGATGCCCTGGCCCCCCTCCCCCGCCCCACCCCCTGAGCTGCCATGGGAGCGGCAGGAGTGCGACCGGCACTGCCGGCTGGGTTTCCCTCTCCGTGAGCAGCTCCCTGCTGACCCTAACATGCAATGAGCATTTACTGTATCAACTTGCCCAGGGGCATCTGCGTCTTAACTAGGTCCAGAAAGTTGAGGAATGACCGTCTCCTGGTGGAATTTCCAGGTAGCTGTGGGACAGGGAACAGCATCAAGGAGCCGGGATCAGAAGAACTAGATCTGAGACCAGATGGCTCCCTCGTTTCGTGGGCATGAGGCCGGCTCCCTGCACTGTGCTTTGTGTCCCACCCACAGACGTGGACCGAGAGTCCCTGACGATGGCCATGAAACCAATTTGAAACTGTCAGGGCCACACACATCTAAGGCATCATTAGACGCCCACGGCTCAAAGTGAATGTTAAGCGACTCAACAGAGCTGAATGGGCTGGAGAGAGGGATCTGCACAAACCCCAAAAGCTGCACATGAGGCTGAATGTGCCTGCCCCCCCAAGCCCCCCAGGCCCAGCGTGGCTCCTGGCTCACAGCCGGGCGGTTGCTCTGCAGGTCAGTCTCCGGCCATGCCAAGCCCAACCTGCTGGAGGAGCAGCGTGGGCGAAGGAGACTTGGGATGTGGCCGTCCTGGGGAGACGCGTGACGCAGCTCTGGGGGCTCCATGTGCCATGGGGAGCCCCCTTCCCCTCAAGACACACACAGCCCCCTTGGGTGTGCAGCAGTCCGACCCACTAGCACTCCCCAGGTCTGCCGAGCAGAACCAGCAAGAATAAAGGCTGGAATCACAGGTCCTCTGGATGGAAGGGGCCTCGATGTCATGCACACTCCCGCTTCAGAGAATGGCTGAGGCCGGGAGGAAGCCCGGGCCGACCCCCAGGGACGATGCAGTGAGTGGCTGGGGCGCCCTGCCCGCCCATCACCTCGCAGGGTCCTCTCTCCACTCTCTCCACTCTGCTCTGCTGAGAAACGCAGCCCGAGTGGACATCGTTGCCCCACTGGCCCCTGGTGCCAGCACAACCAGGGTGGTGGCCTCTTCCCCAGCCACTGCCATCACTGCCACCGTGGGCTTGCAGCGCAGTGGGGAGATGCATGCAGGGAGGCCCGCGGCTGCACAGGGCCCTCGCCGGCATCAGGACAGAGAGGAGAGCTGCTGGTCACCTGAGTGAGGACTCCAGTCATGAGCAGGAGGGTGCATCCTGGGCCTCCTGGGCCATCTGCTCCCTGGGGCTCTGGGAAGCTGGAGACTCCTCCATCGGGTCCAGGGATCTGGCGAGGAACGCGGGTTTGAGAGAGCGGTGCTGAAGGGCCGCATCCGTCCAAAATTCAGACAGGGCCCTGCCTGGCAGTCACTGGGAGAATGACAGAGATTCAATTTGCCAAAACTGGGACCAAATCAGACAAGAATTGAAACTGGATGATTGGATGGAAAGAGCCTGAGTGAAAGTATCAGGAAGAAAGTCAAAGGTGGCGGGTTGGGGAGGAGGGGTGCTGAGCTCCGAGCTCTGACTCAGGGCCCGGGGTCCTGGACAGCCCTGGAGCTGGGTGGGAGGCCAGAGCCCCAGCTGCAGGGCCCAGCGGGTACCAGTCTGGGAAAAGGGTAATAGGGGACTGCGAAAGCTAATGAGGGGGTTGGGGAGGATGACCGAGTTGGCTCACCTTGCTTCCAGGGGCTTCCCAAGCTGGTCTGCATGCATTTCCCAAACCTGCAGAGCCAGAGCCTGAAGGCAGAGTGAGGAGGCCATCTAGCGGCGGGGGTGGTGGGGAGGCAGGGGCCGGGCCCTGGAGGTGCCTCCTGGGGGGCGGGGGCAGAAGACAGGCAGTCACCTGTCCTCAGCAGGGGTGCTAGTGAGGGATGGAGAGGTGCAAGGATGGAGGGAGGGGTGAGGGATGAATGCAGAGGACCTCGGGAAACAGGGGCAGAGCCCAGACAAATTAGAATTCGATCCTGGGGGTGTCCTGGGGTATCTGGCCAGGTCAAGTGGAGGCTAGGGTTTGGAATCTCTGACCTGCACAGGGAGGGGCCCAAATTCTCTGGAGGGGGAAAGGCAAAGAGAGGGAGCCATCTGGCGTCTGGAGGTGGAAGCCGCCCGCCCGTGTTGGTGTCTGGGCAGTGGGGAGAGGGTGGGATGACAGGAAGGAGAGGAGGGGGAGGCCTCGGCGTCCCTTCTCGGGGTAGCTGGGCTGGTGTCCTTGTTTCTAAGGTGATAAATACAAACTGGGTTGATTCTTGTCCAGATTCCCCACCCCACCCCACCCCATCCCCCCTAACACACACATCAGGGTCCGGCCCTCAGAATTAAGGTGTCAGGGACAGTTTATGGTCCATCCCTATTTCATTCTCAAGGATTGGCCAGTTCCTGGGCAGGCGGCCCTGGCAGGTTCTGGGGGTGTCCAGAGCTGGTGGTGAGATGGACAGGGAAGTGGCTTCGGCCCACCCCTGGAGCAATGGAGTAAGGAGGCCTGACAGGCTGGGGACCTCCCTCTGCCAGCGAGCGCGGGGCCGGGCGTGTGCCCTGGAGGGAGCTGAGCACGCAGCCCCCGAGTCTGCCCAGCTGCAGGGATCTCACTGCAGCTCAGGCTTCGGCTCCCAAAGCGCCAGCGGTGCTCCCGGGGGCGCCTGGCCGGTCTGAGGTCCCTGCACCTGCGGGATTGCGGGCAAGGATCCCTGTGCACACGGAGGTCACACCAGGTCCAGCGTCTCGGGCTGGGGCTGCGGGGTGGAGACCCGGGTGCTACGGCTCTTTCGCCTTTGCCTGAGCGGAAAAGGACTGGCAAAAGGGAGGGGGCTGGGGCATGATGCCATGCGGGGGAGGGCACTCAGGAGGCTGGGGCGTCCCCAGGGCCCGGGGCTTCACAAGACCACCCTGCCCAACAGCATTACAACCACACTTGCTGTGCGCCGCCCACCTCTAGCAGGCCCACTCTTCTGGGTACGTGGCGGAGTGACCTCCCTGCACCGGCTCCACTGGGAGGCCGTGATGAAGTTGGGGTGATTCTTCGCAAATCACAGACTAGAAAAAGCAAGTGTGGGGGAGGGGAAACAGCGGGGCCCTGGTGACGCGCAGTGTCTGCAAGGCCCAACCACAGGCTCTAAGATGTCCCCTTCCTCACTCCCCCCTCAAAAAGTTTGTCTGCCCGGACCCTCTGCTGGACTGCAGCAAATGCCCCATTGTTTCAAGGATGGAGCCTTCAGACCTGGCCTCTACTGCTCCCCTTGGCCAGGCTGGGGCCAAAGGAGAGCGCTTCGCTTCCCAGAGTGACAGCCAGGTCTGACCTGGTCCAGTCCACACGGAGAGCTCTCACTGCCTCGTCCTGTTCCGGAGCAGCGACTGCGTCTGAGTGAGATGGCCAGGGCAGAGAAGGGGGTTGGCATATTCTGCAAAGAGGGGGACTCTCAGATTTTCTTTTTCTGGTTTAAATAAGACTTTAGCTAGTTTCTTACAGAAGTGCAGGAACTGGGACTCCAGCATCACCAACTCCAAGTGCTGTGCCCTCTCCTGTACTCCCTTCCTCTGCTTGTTTCCCTGGGGCTCTGCGCCGCCTCGGGCTCCAGCCCCCAGGCCCCTGCGGACCGGCCTGCTGAGCGCGGTGAGAAGCCAGCTCGGCATGGTGTGGAAGGAGTCTGAGCTCCACATTCAGCTCATCCCTGGCCTGCACTTTGCTCCGATCGATTGAATCATGGGGGTGGTGTGTGCACAGCCTTGCCCACTCGCCGCTGCCCCCAGGCGCAATGGGCCTCCGCCCACCACACAGGCACCAGCACCAGCCCCCTTCTCTGAGCTGGGGTGCAGCCCTCAGACCCGCTGGGCCCAGCCAGCTGGACCGTCCTCAGCTCACCCTGCACCAGCCCCTGAGCACGCCTCCATTCCACTTTCAGAGAGTTAAAAATAATGCATTAATTGAAACACCATAAGGAGCAGTATTTTCAAGTTTTTCTAAGATGCTTAAAGCACTTCGGATAGCACGGCCAGCCGGTCAGGCTGAGGTGCCTGGAATATTCCGGAGGGGGCATAGACCCTCTTTCTTTAAAATGCAGAGAGACCTGGCCTGCAGGATAAAGTCTCTGGGAAAACATTTAAATAAGACCTGGGCAGCTTGGCCCCTCAAACATTTGAGAGAATATTTGTTTGATGATGGAACCTGGGGTGGGGGGTGTCTAGACTGTCCTTTAAAAACTTAAGTTGGTGTTAACTGAAGCACCTACCATTCTGGAGGAAGGGAAGGGGGTACAGGAGATGTGCACAAAGCAGGGGGGAACCGATGTTACCCTAAGGAACCTGCCTCCTCCCTCCCTCCCACCTTTGTCTTAGTAAAGATTTTTTTTCCTTTTAACTCGAAGCCCTCAGGTGAAAATAAAGCAACAGCAGCTACAGAAAAAAAAATTAGTCTTTTTTAGGGTTAAACATCAGAAGACAAGCTTGTGCTGCTTTGGCCAATCAGATACGCCCCTGCCAGCTATAATATAGTACTGAAGACAGCCTCGCTCACAAGCTCTCAGGCTTGCTACCATTTAAAATCAGACTCTTTTTGTCTTCTGATTGCCGTCTTGAGCCCCAACTCTGATGTGTTCCGTTATCAGCGACCAGCAACCTGCCGTTCCAGCCCCCGTCTGGGTGGGGATCAGTGGCGAGTCCCCCGCAGCGGCGGCAGGCAAGGTTATATAGGAAGAGAAAGAGCGAGGCAGAGAGAGCCGAGGGCGCCAGCAGCCAGCCGAGCGAGGCGGGGAGAGGGCACAGGCACGCACACTCGCGCACTCGGACCTGCTCGGGCCAGCCTTGAAGTCCTTGGCTGCATGGACAAGATGCTGCTGCTGGCGAGATGTCTGCTGGTGGTGCTAATCTCCTCGCTGTTGGTGTGCTCGGGGCTGGCGTGCGGACCCGGCAGGGGATTTGGGAAGAGGCGGCACCCCAAAAAGCTGACCCCTTTAGCCTACAAGCAGTTTATCCCCAACGTGGCTGAGAAGACCCTAGGGGCCAGTGGAAGATACGAAGGGAAGATCACAAGAAACTCGGAGCGATTTAAGGAGCTCACCCCCAATTACAACCCCGACATCATATTTAAGGATGAAGAAAACACTGGAGCGGACCGGCTGATGACTCAGGTAGAAACCCAGCGCGGGGCGTGGAATGTGTTGCTTTCAAGGGGTTATGTGTAACCATGCAGTTCAGTCTGTTTGCTCTGGAGGCAGGTAGAAAGGCGATTTTACCCTCTCCTTCCCCACCCACCTGCCTGCCTCCCATCCCTTCCTCTTCCTGGCGGGGAATGGAGGTAAAGGGTCTAGCTGGAGAAGTTTAGGGTGGGGGTGGGGTAGGGACGGGAGGAGATGTGGTCCATAGATGGCCCTGATTTGATGTGTCCTGCTGGGATGGCCTTCCCATCCTGCCTCAGCTCTGGCTTGTAACTTGGGGAGACCTTCACTTTGGGGGCATCTGTCCTCTCCAAGTTGGGAGCGGAAATGGAGGGAGGGGGCAAGAGTCCCCCCTAAACATAAAGTGGTGTCCAGGTCACCGTGCAAGTGTAGCCTCGTCGCTTACACGTTTCCCTTCTCCTCTGTGCTGCTCTTTCCCACCACTACCACCGCACTGCAGCCCCCCACCAAAGACCCTCAGCTGGGAACGGCAGGAGGCAGTTCTGACAAAAGGTCGGGGCTCCAGAGGCGGCTGGGCTGGTCCCTGAGCGGATCGCATGTCTCCGCTGCGATCCCATCGCTGGCACTCGTGCCCGTCAGAGTGTGAATGTATCGATATTTCTTTAAGGATGCCCTCTCGTTCTCCCGAGCCCGCGGTACTTGAGGGGAGGGACTTAGAACTTACTGGCATTGCATCACGCTAGTTTTCAACCTGCTTGCATAGGAATTAGGAGCAACTACATACTAGCGGGAGGGGAGGGGGCTGGAAAGCAGAACCAAAGCAAAACAGGAGCCCCTCTCTCCCCCTGGCCTCCGTTTGAGACTTCTGCTGCCAATCTCCCCGCCAATGATAGACTTTCTGAAACTCCATGCACTGTAACTGAAGATGGAAATGGATTTCCTGGCAAATATAGGTCAACATCCTTTTTATTGCCCTATTAAAATACTCAAGTCCTACCTTCAGGGCTAGGAGCGCACCGCGGCTGACGGAGCGGCGCTGGTGGGGCGCGAGCGCAGGGGGGGCTGGGGTGGGAGGGAGACAGAAGCCCCTCTGGGCCGCTCGGCTCCCCAGCCCGAGTCTGGTTCTGGCCTTGCTGCGGAGCCCGGAGAGGAGAGGGGCCGGCGGGGTAGCCGGCTTAAGCGAACGGGCGGGGTAGGAGACGGAGCGAAGGAGAGGGTCATTATCCCTCGCTCTCTCGTCTCCTCGCGACCACCTTAAATCTGGACCGCGACTGTGGACGCGCGCCTGTGCCCGAGCGCAGCGCGAGCCGCAGTTAACTCTGCGCAGGCCGCGGGGTGCCGGGTGCGTGCAGCCGGCTGCCGCAGTTCTCCAGCTCGTCCCGGACTCCGACCCCCTGGTCAGCCTCGCTCCCTGCGGGAGGGAAGGGGCCTCCCCGCGGTCTCTCGAACCCGCGAGAGAGGGCGAGGCCAGAGGAAGCGGCGGGGTCGGGAACACCGGCGGTCCCCGAGCCAGAGGGCTCAGCGTCCGCCGAGGTCCCGGGTCTCCCACGCGGGAGAGGGGTCCCGGCTCGCGCCCTGCCCCGGACCCGGCCACCAAGTGCGAGCGCGCGGAGCCGCGCACCCAGGCAGACGCATCTCATCTCCACTTACTCCCGGGCTATCGATCCCGCGGCTCGGGTTTCAGTGCGCGCG